CCCGCATGATTCCATCATCAAACAATCAGCAGTACCCATTTTTTAGTCCTGTGTCCCTGAAACTATCCTTGAAAATCTCTAACCCGTGATCCACTAGGGAGGCTGATTTGAGTAATAATAAACCTCTGTCCTGCTGTTTGGCAGACTTGGACTCGTTAAAATCTTTCTTTACTGCAAATCACCATCGGGATAAATTGTGTTTTTTTTTTGTGCAGGAGGCCAGAAGAACTTGTTTGGGAATTATAAGAGTGGATGGAGGAGCTGCCTATCCCTGTCCCACCGACTTGTCCACAGATCAGCCTCACAAAGGGAAAGATCCCTGGATGGGGATACAGTGGAAGATCATTCTCTTAGTGACCTGGGGATATTGGCACGAGATGAAGCTTTTCAGGAGTGGCAACTCCAGTTGATTTCTGTGCCTTTCCTATTTCCTGGGAGGTGGGCCAGGTCACAGTGTTAGCAGGAAGGGAACAGAGCAGTCAGCCTAGTTAGAGGGAGTGTCTTGGGAAGGCCTAGGGATGGAGGAAGAAGCTGTGCAGGACAGGGCTTGCCAGGTAGAATGAAGTGGGAGGAAGATGAGGGACACAGAGAAGCAGAGAGAGGCAGAGACAGCATGACAGTGAACAGTGGGGCCTACAGTGACTTCAGTGACCCCAGGGACCAGGTGCTCCCGTTTCCACAGTCCAGGACCAGGGAGCCCTGAAAACCCTCTAGTGGCCAAAGAGCTTCAGAGTAACACATGAAGTGGGATGGCTTTAGGGGCAAGAGGAAGTGGGGGGATGAAACGTGGGTGTCAGCCTCTGAAGGACAAGGGACAGGTGTGGCGAGAATTTCCTAGGATTCTTCATCCAGGATCCAGTCTCTAAAGAGGTTATGGATCATTCATTCCTTCATTCAATTCCTTCATTTGTTATGTGAGAGCACCTGAGGGTGTGTCTCTCACTGGACTTGTGCTGGTGCAGGGTGTGAGTGGGGAATGAAGACAAAGTCCTCTCTTTTATCCTGTCATGCCAGTGACATGGACACTTTGGGAAACATAGGATTTCAGGTTCAGTGATAGTTGTTAAGATCTGAGGGGGACGCCTGGACATTTTCTGCACTGACTCTGATGGTTGAGACTGGTGATTTAGTTCTGGAGTGCAGACTAATCAGCTGACCATTTGCTCTCACTCCTCTGAGGTTTGGATGCCTAAGAAGAGAGGTTTTAAGCCAATAAATTACTACAGGGTCATTGGAACCCAATAAGCCTTCACTTCTGGTGGAGGAGAGGATGGACCTGTGGCTGCAGACAGACCTCATGTGACCCTGATCTGCCTTTTGTGTTTGTGTGACTCTGGTTCAGTGACTGTGCCTTCCTGTGCCTCAGTTTTCTCTCAGTCAAATAAGCTAAATGGCAAATGGACTGTGGGTTTTCATGCTATCTGTGAATGAATTGTAAATTCTTCACAGTCATCGGACCTAATACTTGGCACAGTGGAGGTGTTCACACAAACAGCATTTATTGTTATTCACTTACATGAGAGAGCACCTTTATTTCAGAACTCTGTGGACAAGCTGCTGCCAGGTACATTTTCTGTCTTCTGTTTCTGCTTCTGGGGACATTAGACTACCTATGGAGTGTCCTAAGCCCCACAAGGCAGTTGGCTGATGGCCTACAAAGCTTGCCTTTCTGTCCTCTCCACTCTGAGTGTCAGGTGAAGAAAGCTCTGTCCTTGACCAGATGAGGTTCTGAGTGCTGAGCCCTGGCTCGTGAGCAGCTCCAAGAGACACAGTCCTCAGACAGCTGGTGAATCCTTTGTCCCAGTAAGCCCTGCCACAACCCAGAATTGACACAAGCTCCTCAGCTTTATCTGGAGTAAGGATTTAGGGACGGGGTCTGGGGTTGAGGCTTCTTGGGCTGAGCTTCTCTGAGAGTATCTCAGGGGTCCTCTTAGGCAAAGCCCTACTCACTTCTCCAGGGTCTTTCTCAGGGTCAAGTTTATGAAGAGGGCATGAGGTGCTTGGCTGAGGCTGATCTCCTCCTGCTGAGCACCCCCCCCATCAGACTGTCCTTCCTGTGCAGCAAGTGTCTAGAGGTTCTGGAGGCAGGAAAGGAATTCTGATCTGTTGTAATTTGTCTCCTCTGTGTGTGTCCTGCACTAAATGCCAAAACCCAAACATGGGACATAATGCAGAGAGGGACACAGGCACAGTCCAGGCCTGACCATCCTGTGTGTGCAAAGTAGAAGTGACCCCCACCCCCCAACACCCAGGGATCATGTGGAATCACTCACCATATAAGGTGAAATGTCCAGTTACTCCTTCAGTCCTGTAACCTCGCTTTATGATTTTTACGGTGTAGGATCCTGCGTCCTTCTGGTTCACACTCTGGATCAGCAGGGATGCATTGGAATATACTGTTTCTCGTCCACTGTATGCAGGCCCAAATATAATTCTTTCAGTGTATATTGTATATGCTGTAATGTAATGTTGGAGGTCCATTATTTGCCCTTTGTACCAGATGTAGGCAGCAGGATTCTTGGGTAAATTGTGTACAAGTAGAAGAACATCATTCCCCTCGGAAATATTGGTTGGCTGAGCTTCAATTGTGACTTGGGCAGTGGTGGGCGAGTTCCAGAAGATTAAAAGTGATGCTAGTAGGTGGAGAGAGCATCAGTCAATATTGAGACCTATGTATTGGGGTGAAAAGATGGGGCCATGTATCCTGAGAAGATCTCTTCAATCATCAGCCTTGAAGACACACACGCACACACACACACAAAATCCACACATACCTCTTTTTGTGTGTGTGTGTGGTTGTGTGTTTGTGTCCTACTGTCCTACTGTCCTACTGGGTGAAGGTCAGTGGCATGAACCCATTCCTTCAACACTTCTGACCTCGGTGTTTTTCTGTTTGGAATTCTCTTCCCCAGAGGTCTGCACGGCTCCCTCTACACTGCCCTCAGGTCCTGCTCACATCGGGCATCCTTAGACTTCTTTCCTGATACGTCCTTCAGAGCCTCTGGGTCTTCCCTTTCTGACCTTTCCCTGCTCTGCTCCCTCCGGAGCTCTTGTCAACACCTGACCTCACATTCTAGATCTCTTTGCATGTCTGTCTTCCTCCCCATGAGAGCATGAGCTCCCTGAGGACAGGGAATTTTATGATCTTGGTTGCACCCCAGTGCCTGGGACAGGCTGCAGACTCTTGCAGATGTGAGGGTTCCAAGGGCCCTCCATGCCAGGGGTATTTTGTTTTCTTTCCTCAATTGTTGAGGTTTTTGCTGAGGACAATGTTTCATGCCATGCTTACATTTTCATTTGAAGTGCAATCTGATAATAGTTATTATTATCATTTTTTAAAATGTGGTGTCCAGGGATGATTAACCAGGAAACAAGAACACTTGAGATTTGCCTACCTCTTACCAATTCCGGTTCAATGTGATTTTCCTGTTTTGACCCCTGTCCCTCTTGCGTATATTTTTCCCTATCCAGGCTCCAACAGAGCCTTCTTTCCTGTATTTTTTTTTTTTTTTTGAGACAGAGTCTCTTACTGTCAGCCAGGTTGGCGTGCAGTGGCACAATCTCCGCTCACTGCAACCTCTGCCTCTTGGGTTCATGCAATTCTCCTGCCTCAGCCTCTCAAGTAGCTAGGATTACAGGAGCACACCACCACACCTGGTTAATTTTTTTGTATTTTTAGTAGAGACGGGGCTTCAGTGTGTTGAACAGACTGGTCTTGAACTCCTGACCTCATGATCCACCCAACTCAGCCTCCCAAAGTGCTGACTTTCATTTTTAAGAACCCCATAGTCTCCAGGAGACCCCATCCAATCATTCTGCTTCCTCCTCCTGTCCTCTCCCAGGAAGTTCTCTCCTCACCTGTGAGCAGGAGCTCCTTCCAGGTGATGTGCAGTGTGCAGCGAGGCGCTGAGAGGGGCCCCATGGTCTGTGCTGCCTGTGTGTTCTCCGTGGAGATGAGCCTGGGATCCAGAATCTTTCTGAGCACGACTGTCAGCTGTGCTGTCCTTCCTCCTTCTGTGCTGAGCCTCTTCCCGCGGCAGGAGCACTTCTCTGGCTCATGGGTGGGGTCTGTTCCCAGGGTACCTCTCTGTCCCCGCCCCTCTCTGTCCTGCCTCCTTGTCCCTCCTTCTCTTTTACCTTTTGTCTGTGTGTCAGGTCCTTGGGAATTGTGGAGGCCTCTGCCTTTTTCAGCAGTGATTCTGTCAACAAACCTCGATACACACTATGTGCAGAAACACAAACACACACACAAAAGAGACACACACAGACACACACGGTCACACATATACCCTGTAGGTTGGGCAAGCACAGCCCTGCACCTCAGCCTCCTGCTGTCCCCATGAGTCTGGGTCGGGGTGCACATTTGTGCCCTTTGCCCTCTTTCATCCCCATCTAGCTCTCCCCTTCAGTTCAGGAGGCTGGAGCTGCACCAGGACCCTGTCACAGAGATACCCCATTGTGCTGTGGGTGAGCTGTGTGTTGCCTGGTGACAGGGACCCTTCCTTTCTCTAATTGTGTCTAGCTTGACTGCAGCTTCCAAGGATGGACATTCAGGACCTGGGTGTCCCACAGGAAACTGTCCTTCCTGGAGATGTGCAGGGTGAACCTCTCATGCCTCTTGGGAGGAGAGGCCTGTGCTGGTTGCTCAGTGAGGGCTGTGAGTCCCATGGTCAAAGGACAGTTCTCAGTCACTCTATTGCTCCCTGGGGACTGGTGGCGGAGCTGGGGCTCAGGGTTTCTCATTTCTTCCTGACCATCTTTTGTGTCCTCTCTTCTGTGCCCAGCTGACTGTACTGTGGTCAGCACAGTACACTTCCCCATGGTGGTGCAGGAGGAAGTGGGGAGTTACCCAGGAACCCCGTGGAACATGGCTCGTTGAGACACAGGAAGGGGAGCCTGGGACAGAGCAGGGGTTTAGAGCTGGAGAGATTCATCCCGACTTACTCTGTGGTCATGATGGGCTCAGCCCTGCATGTGCTGACATACCCAGGGGTCTATCCTGAGGATTCCGAATTGGCCAAGCTGCTCTCTGTAGAGGAGGAACAGGCAGTCGCCAGAGATTCTGTTTGGAGGGACGTTGGTCACCCCTGAGAGGGCAGGTGAGGGTGAGTTGTGTTCTGGGAGCAAAGAGCAATAATACCCCCTTCTCCTGGCAGGGACACAGGAGAGGTCTGTCTTCCCAAGGGACAGACGGGGGTAGGCGGCCACATCCTGGACGGTGCCTGTGTGTGACCATCACACACGCTTTGAGCCCCACAGGGTACAGCGGGCAGACAGGTCACGGGGTGCCTGACTGATTCCCGGGGAGGCTGTGGGCCCTCAGGCAGCCGCTGTTCTGTGTCAGCGCTAGGATTGGCCTGGGATGCCCCACAGAACAGGACAGATGAAGCACGGGCGGGCATTTAGGGAGCAGTGACAGAAAGAGTTGATGAGGATGGAGGGAGGTCACGAGGGGAAAGCGTGCAATGTGGCTTCGTGTGCACCATCGCTGCCCTGGGAGATGTCTTTTTAGCTGAGCCCAGGGAATGTGCAAGCCTGTGGGGCAGGAGCTGCCAGCAGAGGGAGTGGTATTAGATTGGAGGCCGCCAGGTCAGGGAGGAGCTGACAGAGTCCATGTGGGGCGCATGCAGGACGTTGAGGTCTTGGGCCGAGGTGACCCTGGTGAGGGTGGACCCTGCTTGGCTATGGGTTCTGCTGAGGGATGTCGGCCTCCCCTGGGAAGGCTCCATGCCGGAGGGACTCTGCCGCCCTCTGGTGGACTGGAAGGGAAGTGTGGGTGGCCGAAGTCCCTGCCAGGCTGTGTGTTTTATTCCACAAGGATCTGCACATTTCACTCGAGGTCACACATATGTTATATTACAGCTCCATCACCTTCCAGCCCAGTGAGTCCCATTCTCTGTGGTTCCACGTTCACTGTTCTCCCTCTTTCACAATCGGATGTCCCGAATGCAGATTTTTGTCACCTTCTGTGAGTTTGTGTGTGTGTGCAGTAGGCGGCACTGTGTATACCCTGGGGACAGTGATGTCTGGGGCTGAGCACTGCACATGGGCTTGGGAGCTTCCAGCTAACTTGATTGAAAAAGTGATATGTTTCATGGAAAACACTGGGTCAGATGATGTATTCACGGGCTTTAGCTGCTATAACAAACAACTTAGCCTCAGTGAATTAAATAATAGAAATCGATTTTTCACAGTTCTGTGAATTACGTGCTATTTTAACCACTTTAAAATGTGCAATCAAGTGGAATTAACCACATACACAGTGTTAAGTTCCCATCAACACTGTTTTTCATAGAAAATTTTTGTCATTTTAAACTGAAACTTTGTATCATTGAAACAATAATAACTCCCTGTATTTTCCACCCTAGACCTTGATCATCTCTACTCTATCTCTATGAATTTGACTATTCTAGATGGTTCATGTAAATGGAATTATATATATATATATGTTATTTAGTTTCTGACATATTTCACTTAGCATAGTGTTTCCAAAGTCCATGTATATTCCAGCGGATGTCAGAGCTTCCTTCCTTTTTATGGCAGATTTACAACCTGTTGTATGTGTCACCACATTTGTTTATTGATGTGTTGATGAACACTTGGATTGTTTTCATATTTTATCTTTTATGAGTAATGCTGCAATCAACAGTCCCATGCGAGTATCTATTTGAGTCCCTGGATTCAGTTCTTTGGGTACATACCTAGGAATGGATGCTCTTTTATATGAGAATTCTATGATTATCTTCTTGAGGAATAGCACATCTGTTTCTGCTAGTGGCTGTACCTTTTTATAATCTCACCAGCAATGTATGAGGATTCCAAATTCTGCAGAAGGCTTTCACTTGTTATTTAACATGTGAAAAGAATGGTAGCCATATTTGTAGGTGTAGTGTGGTATCTCCTTGTGGCTTTCACTTTGTATTTTCCTAATGACTATGATGTTGAGTTTCTTTTCATATCCCTCTTGATGATTTACATATCTTCTTTGAGGAAATGTCTATTTGCGTCCTTTGCCCATTTGTATAAATTGGTGGTTTGTCTTTTTGGTATCCAGTTGTAGCAGTTCTTTATCTATTCTGGGCATGAAATCATTGTCTATGTGATTTGCAACTTTTATGTCTCATTCTGTGTTTGGTCTTTTCATTTTCTTGATAATATCTTTGATGTACAAAAGGCTTGCATCTTTAGCCCAATTTATCTATTTTTCCTTTTTCTTTCTCATGCATTTGGGTCATACCTGAGAATCCATGACACATTTGAGGTCATTAAGTATTACCCCTATGTCTTTTTCTAAGATGTTTTTATGGTTATAGATCTTATAATTAACTCACTGATCCATTTTTAGATAATTGTTTGATATGGTTGCAAATATAGTTCTCTAAGTTTATTGTCTCACATGTGGTTACCTAGTTGTTTCTGCACCTTTATTTGAGGGACAGTGAGCTCCTTAATGAGGTGCACAGAAGACATTGCTTTGGGACACAATGTTGTCAGGGGAGTTGTGTTCATCTCTACTTCTTTATTTTTTGTACAGTTTGGTTCTCTGCTGGACA